GAGCATAGTAATATATGTATATATGTATAATGATAAATATTAATAAGCTTATTATATTAATTAGTTTATTATTAATTCTTTTTCTAATAGAAGAATCTAAAAATTATATGGGCAAAAATTTAAAAAAGGTTCAATCAGATCAAAATATTGCAACGAAACTTACGAAAAATCGAGAACATATGCTGAATGAAAGCACGTGCTCTAATTTGAAAGAGTACGATGGTGAACCATTGTCTTCACAAGATCTTTTACAACATCACGAGGATAGCGGAATTGAAATATCACCGATAAAGAAGGATGATAATTCGGAAGATTTTCTTGAAAAAGCGAGGAAGGTGAGTCTAATCGAGTTCGCAAATGTAATTGTGATGACAAAGCTACTAGCTTTGACCGACGCTTGACTGGCTTCTTTCGTTTCAAATTCCTTATTTGTCACATTTTAATATGTGCTAGCTACTTGTTTGGAATATCCGTTTGGTATAATTCTTATTTTTTTATATGTTCTTAAGCTTAAGCTTTTGTTCCTTTATTAATGCATTAAATACAACGATGAGATTGCCTATCTAATCCTTACAGCGAAAATTATTTGCAGCTTTGATGAAGACAAATTTTATATGAAGGATTTGATGAGAGTAAATGTTATCAATATAAGTCTTACGATTTTGATCAGAGATGTTAAAGAGATGTTATCTATAGAGATAATTTATGTTGAGGATATCATATGCCATATAGAATCGACTGCAGTATTGAAAGACTTAAGAATTGTTAACTGCACGTTTGTTAATTGTTATGCTGTTTGTAACTTTATTGATGCAAGTAAAAATTTTATATAATACGCTCTCATGGATTTTTAGGGTGTATCGCATGACGCATTTGTTATTTTTATAAATAAAAGATGTTTAAAAGAAATGGATAATTCTTAACAAAATACCCATTTGAAATATACTGGGTGCGACCATTTATTACACCCAACGACCTTTCTTTCATTTACGACCGAGAATTCCACTTTCGTTCGATGCTGTTGCGCCGCGCAATTTTGCTCTGTATAGTCTCTGTAGATCGTGCTCGACGAGCGCGACGAAGGTGAGCGGGAGGCAGCCAGCCGGAGGCTAACCGGAGGGTCCGGAGGCCGGAGGCCGTGCCGCGCTATGCCGCGCCGCGGCCAGTTCAGTCTTGGTTCGGCCGGTTACTGCAACCGATCGGCTAGTGACGTGATACACTCGTGACATGTGTCACGCGAGTGTTACTGCCGTTGTTGTCGTCATTATTACTACAACGCCGCGAATTGAATTTAGGTGATTGTTATATCGTGCCAAGTAAAAAAATTATGCTCCGAAGAAACATGAAAAATAATATAACTTAATGCATCGCATATTGAATTAAAATGTCGAGAAATGTCATGGATTTGCAACTTATTGAAAGAAACCAAAAAAAATTTTTCCATCTTTTCAACTTAAACTACATAAGAGAACGAAAACTTGTCAAACATATCCATTAAATTATAAACAGATAATTCATAATTATGCATTAATGCTACAAATTTATACTAATTGCCGAGCATTTACATTTTTTAATCAAGGAATTTCTTTAACATGTGAAGAGTTGATTAAATTATGTGCTTATACATAAACAGTTCTCTAACGTAATAGAAAAGGGAAAATCATAAACTTATCTTAATATAATAAAGAAATATATAAAGAAACTTTTCACAACATCGATTGATCCTTCTATCGTCTATCGGATCATCTTCGGTTACACGTGATTTTTACCGTGATATACTAGTCGTTGAAAGAACGCTACCAGTCAGTCCGGTTTTATTCTACCATTTGTTCGTCTCCGTAGATGACGTCACCGTATAAATATATCTACATAAAGTATTAATATGTTATATCAAAGAGAGAGAAACCGGATATTTTAGAGTATGCAAGCATTTTTTAATCCATTACAACTTAATTCATTGTGAATTGACAAATTGTTAAAATTATTCTTTCTTTGCGTACAAGAAATATTCTGACTTTGACGAGAATTTACATTTTTTTCTATTTTTGTTTTGTTTTGTTTTAAGAAATTAGTGCAAATTGACAAGACAAGAATTTAAAAAATGTCGAATCGCAAAAGAAAGTTTTTTTTGGCGCGGCACAGATATAATCATATTCTATACAATATTTACGGAATTTTCGTGAGCACTTTTGGTAAAGTGCCAAAAATAACGTCAATCACAGAAGACAATTGCGCCAACTAAAGAATATGTTAAATATATGGATATTTCTGTAAAATCTTTGAAAATATCGATGAGCTAGGTGTTTATTGTGTCGCGTTTTAGATCGACGTACGTCACTGTAATATATTTAGCCCCAGGCATTGAAGTCACTGTGTCCGGTCAAAACGTATGATATCACTATAACGTCGCATAACACTCTCTTAATTTTCAGCAGCTATATTATCAGTCATATTGCACAACTCGTAACATATATCAATATCCAGTGAGTATTTCGCCACGTAATTATATCGCGATTATAACTGAGAGTCATCTAGTCTACTAACACATATCTGAAACGTTTTGATTATGGCACAAAAGATAAAATTAACGATGATGGTGGACGGTCCTGACTCGATGGAGGCACACGTGCATCCTGAAGAATCCGTTGAGATGAATTCAGGAATAGTGATGCAAAGAGACGAGGATACGCCGCAACAAATCATCTCGCCAACTACCACTATAAGTACCATAGCTGTACAAAGCGGAGAAACGCGTGTAGTAATCGCTTTACTTCAAGTAAGAAACATATGCGTTGCATCTTAATAATAATATTTATATTTTTCATTGTTACGGTCTTGTTCCGTCACGCGAGTAATTTCAATTAATTTTACTTGAAATTTAAAAAAAAACCAAAAACAAAATAATTTAAGGTAGCCTTTAAATTGTTTAATTCAAATAATTCTTATTGTTAGTAAAGAATAAATCTTCCATTGCGATTTCATATATGACGCTATGGTGTAGATATTTCGGGATTCGGTTGCTTCGGTCTATAGCTATTTCCGAGTCCTCTCGAAACCGTAAGCGTTTTAGGTATCCGCTGAGCAAAACGAGTCTCCCGAAACTCCACGAAGGATAAATTTAACCGCTAGGTACAGTAACTCCCATTACACACCACCATGATCAGATAAACCCATCTTGCATATACATTACGGTGGATTCCGAAGTATTTAGGATCACGATCACACGATCCATGGCATGCAAGTTACATTTTAAGCATTCCGTTTCCACTTTATACTAATTACAAATTTAAATCTTTATTACTTCGAATATTTCTCAAGCGAAGAAAGCCGGAAAATAAAATCAATGTTTTCATAACGTATATAATTAAATATTTAATTTTATGCGATTTGAAAGACAAGAAACATTTATGCTTATAAATTTTTATCCTAATATAAATTACAATTTAAATTATACTAAACTCTAGATAATGGATCCAGGATCCTGCAAAACTAATTGATAAATAGATTGGGTAATCGGTGAACTCGTATCGAACCAAGAGAGATCTCTCGTGGCATGGATCCGCGCACACTCTCGTATAATCTAACAAACCGGTATTATATATATGTGCGAGACGGCTCGAGGCAGCTTGGACTCAACCTGGCCCGGCTCAGTGGCCCGGACGAGTGGCATGATTCTTCCTTTTACCGTATTACCGTACCTTATTCGCCTATATCGTACCTACAATCTGACAATAGTACTTTTACGTCCAAACTAACAATAAGAGAGAAAATATTACGTAGAGATTCCTAGACATACGTGGACATATCGTTACAATGTAGTTACTATAACATCGCCAAAAGCATGAGAATTTACCAAGTTAACCAAGTACTTGTATTGCACGTTGTTTTATGTCGCGTTTATTAGATATAAAAAAATTTTCAACAAATTATACCTAAAAAAATAAAACACAATTAATTCAATTATTTTTGTCGTTGGATAATATTTTTTGCTATATAAATTATATTGAGTTTTTATCTTTTATCGAATCAAGTTGCCCAGTCCAATTTTTAGCATATGCCAAATATAGTCACGTTTGATCACATGAGTTATTTCACAACGCGTAAAGTTTTTCTTCGTATCTGTACATATACACGTGACTTGACGTTCAACTTGAGCTGTTGGCCATAAGACTCGCTTTCACTCTGACTCTAAATCACGAATCATATCTTTTTTTCTTATAATACAACATAAAAATATTTCTCAAATTTTCAACAAATGTGTCGAGTATTCTTTAATTGCGCTTCGTCAATTATTTCGATATCTTTAAAAAAATTGTTATAAAATACTATACATCTCGCGTACCCACGCTTAAAAATAAAGAAATAATTTTATCGCTTGAGTGGCGATATATACCAGAAGAGAGAAATGGTCAATTCAAACGTAGTTATTCGGCAGTATGCCAAAGATGAAAATGGAAACATATCTTGCTCCTTTCTGCGGCCTAACCTCATGAGGTCGATGAACTCTGGAGGACCGATCTCTGTCTACACTCGTTTTTCATTTTCCATCTCTTCTTTTTAATAATATGTTATGTTAAAGGAAAAAATCTCGGTTCTGAATTTGATTTACGACATTATATATATGAGTTACTGTTAGATGATTTCGAAATTTATTTGAGTTAAAACAATCTTTATATTGCTGCATGGCATAAATGAGCAAATATTTTTTGACATTTTCTCTCTTTGTAGTTTATTGTACTCTACAATTATTTAAAATATTGGATACAATATTCTATCAATTACGAAAATGACAATTCCACAAAACGAACGCGTTATATATTAATAATATTCAATTTAGCTATGCTCGTTGATCGACCGTCGGAAGGTTGGTATCTGGTTTGATTACTATGTTTCATTATCGGATCGTTTTTGTTTAGAGCGGCGAATGGCTAAAACTGAAAATACTCGAGTTACAACCAGAATTAACGAAACTTGGTGCTTCCGTAAAGGAAGCCACGGAACTCTCAAACGCGCACGATCAAGTGTTACTTCGATTACAGGTGAAGTTTTAAGTACCAAGCTAAATTTTAAATTATGTGTAAAAGTTGTATTAGATATAATTAAATACATATTGCTTAAAGTCTCCGTTAATTAAAACTTTGTTCTAATCAGAATAAACAAAGCCCGGTGGAAGAATTATTGCGACAAGCTGATCAATTAATCGCGACTCAGAGACCAAGAGCAGAAGTATACACTGCCATGGCGGAGACGTTAGGTCAGGCATGGCGTGATGTAAATCAACTTTTAGAACGTCGTAAGGAGATACTCGACCGAAATGTATTATTTCAATGGTATATAATGTAATTAATTAAGCATATGTGATTTGTACTTTAAATTAATTATTTAATAAAATAGATTTTTTTTTTAATAGTCGCGCGGCAGAATGTAGAGAAAGTATGGAGGCGTTGGAAATGGCATGTAACGACACGTTACTACCGATCGAGATAGAAGCAGTAAAAAGTTTTCTATCGAAGATCCAGGATCTTCGCAAAGATATGTTGGAAGCGTTGATGGGTGCGTTGCGAGAGGGTAAGGCATTATTGGATGGACTCAAGGAATTGATGAACGAAGGCACTTTAGATTCTAGGCCGGATACGATTAAAGATGAAGCCAATTATGGTATGTTTATGTTTAAAATGTTTATCCAATACCTGCAAATAATTATTTGCTCATCAACTTATTGTTAGCTAGCTCGCTGTCATAAAATTAAGACTTTTTTATACATAAGAATATCATATTTTGGTAGCTGTGTTGCGAGTTGAAAAATGGCTGGAAGAACTTCACGATAGAAGACGGCTGATCGAGACATCTTTTCGTAACAGAAAGACTCAATTGGAGCAATGTCTTGCTCTCGCGCTGCTCGCGACTGATCTTCGTGATCTCGAGGAAATTCTCAATGACAGAATCGCTGCATTGGAGGGTAGTTGCGATCAATTGGGAGATTCTGTATCTAACGTAGAGCTGCTTCTTTTTGAATTAAAAAAGTTGCAAGTCGAAGCAAAGGTACCCGAAAAGAAATCAATTTAACTAATATTACATACTAATTACATGTTAGATATATAACTAGATATATTCTACTCTCTTGATCTTTGAGAAGCATTGTATAGTATGTATAATGTATATATTATACAAAGTAATGTGTTATTTTAAAAGAAAAATTCACTATTTTCTAGGAGTTTCAAGATAAGGCCATTAAAATAACCAAATCGACCGAACGATTAGTGTCATCGGGACACTTTGCAGGCGAACAAGCGACCGAACAGGCATATGCGATTCTTAGCACCGCTGCCGATTATATCAACGATTTAGATCAATACAATATGTTGTTAAATAGGTCAATAGCCTTTTTCGATTGTGCACAATCGGTAAGTGTTTCCAAGTTTTTAATCTATATAATAGTGGACTAATCACAGTAAAATATGTAATATTTTCATAACTTAATTGAGTCACGTATATCTATTTAAACTTGAATGCTTAATATTCAATGCAATCAATGCAATCAGGCTATCACAAAACTGGACCAGCTGGAAATTGAGTTGATGGCAACTGAGTATCCTTCTTATTCTGCTCGACTCGCACGTTTTCATGCGGAGACCGTGGCTGCGATAGAAGACATAACTTCAAAGCCATTGTCAGAAGGATATACGCTGCTAGATATCACGAGAAGAGAAGCGCCTGGTGCCGAGGTCAGATCCGTTGATTAATTAATATTGTATTTATATGCTATAAAGTTAAGCTGTTATTATCACTAAATATATACAAATTATAAATCGTCTGTTCACTAATTTTTTTACTGTGTTACTGGACATTCCACAGTAAGTCTTTATTATTTGTGTTGTGATATTTTATTTAAAGATAAAATAATATAACGATTGAATCATATAGTATTAAATATATGTATGCTATGTTCATAGGGTGTAAGAAATACTATAGAAAAATTGGAGAATCGCAAACTTTGTTTGATGGAACAATGTACGGCTCATAAAGAAGAAAATTTGGAGGTGTCGAGAATACTCGCTACATTTTTAGATAAGCACGACGTATTACAAGCTTGGCTAACTAATACTGCCAAAGTCTTTCTTCAAAAACATCAAGATATGGGCAGAGATTTGGCAATGGCATGCGATTTTCGTCGAGTTCATTGTCAATTGCTAGCTGAATTGGAAAATAAAAGTGAGGAAGTAGATCATTTAGAATTGGAAATTCTTCCAATCATAGAACGCCTGGACGAAATACAGAAATACGAATTACAATTAAAAATAAAAAATCTTCAAGACGAATGGACGAAAACAAAGATTGCAATGGTAAAGAGAATCGAATTGGGTATCATTTATATACAGTTTTATGAGATTGTGGAAAAATTGACTCATGAAATGGATTCTATCGATAACGAATTGAAAAATCATGATAATGTATTGGATGAGGCTATATTTAGTGAACTAGAAAAAAGATGGAAATCTGTTGAATCTTTTTACAAAAAAGTCGATCATCATGCGAAAGCATTTCTCAATGAAGCAAACAATGTAAGCAGCTCATAAAGTATCCTTTAATTTTAAAAATTTATTGTTATTATTTCAAGAAACTTTAAGGTATTATACAAAGAATTGCATCTATATTCTTTCCTTGCAGATTGATGACTGTTATCTCGATGTATCGCAAGCTTGTCTGTGTGTTCAAACTCTTCTAGAAAAGTTTGCCAATCGACAATTGGTTATGACAGAGTTATGGAAAAAATTGCAGACTACTGTCCAAATAATGAGACAAAGGCAAATGGAATGTGATCAAAAAGTAGAAGAATGTACAAAGGTGTGATTTTTAATTTATATTGTTAAATTTTGTACTTCTGTTCCGTTCTTTTTTTTTTTACAATCCCTTTTATCTTTTTTATATTAAGTTTACTTGTGTAGCATCTGTTTTTAATTTATTTTATAAAATAATTCCTTAAAATAAGACAAGAAAAAAAGCATAGAAAAATGTTCGTAAAAGTACCTACTTTTGTGTCATTTATTAATATCTCGCTTGCTCACTCACTCAATTCACTCTCTCACTGTCTCACATTGATTTATTCTACTGCAGACATTAGCGTGGATTACAAAACTTGAGACAACGTTGTATCCAGTGATAACAATACGATCTTCCAGAATAATTGATATTTTGGATAATTTGGAAGATGTAAGAAAACGGGTTCTATCGGAATTGAACAAAGCTCTTGAACAACTGGATGCTCGAATCAAATGCATTCAAGTATTTGTTGAGAGAGGTAACCATTTGCAGAACATATTTGTGCTATATGTTGCATTTAACGAGACATATTTAATTAAAATATTTAATGAAATTAGGTGAAGCTAAAGCAGTCGAGCAAATCTCAGAGAGACTTGTGCAAATGCATGAAAAGGTGAACACTATCGTCAATGATTACGAGATATTATTAGAATCTTTAATTTCTATCTTTAAGTATCTCGAGGAGGTAAGACAGATTTTCAAATACGCATTTAACGCGATATACAACGCTATTTAACTCATATACGTATGTCTTGAAATATGTAAATTATTCTTTTTTTTCGTCGCTTTCAAGATCGAGCGTAAAATTGAAGAAGCAAAGCAAGAAGCTGAACGTGCATCAAGTTCTACAAAGTTGATTGATGTAAATGGTTCATTAAACAAATTTGAAACATTAAAGACATTTATTACGGAATCTTTACTACGAGTACGTGCAAAATCTGAAACAATAATCGACAATATCAGACTACAGGAGCCGCTAGAATCAGCAACACAAGATATCGAGAAACTAAAACGCACGATAGACTCCACGAGGATCAAATTCGAATCGTTCCAAACCGAAACGTCAAGTTGTCTCGAAAAACATCGACGTCTTTGCATTTTTAGAGAAGACATTGAAAAGATTAATTCGGATCTACGTGAATTACACGAACAACTAAAAAATATGGATGGAAAAATTGGTGACAATTTATCGGTATCGAAAGCGACACTGGCTGCCTTTGAACAGTTTGAACAAACGATAACGGTATAAATAATATATTATTGAGATTGAGCTAATCGAGACTACAATAAAATTACGAAAAGACTTTAATGTTAATTTATATATTTGTTACTAGATTTTGGAAGAAAGAATTGAGACTTTTGTAAGAAAAACAGAAGAAACAATTGTTCCATTAACTCCACAAGTGACGGATGAAATTTTATCTCTGCGAAACAGATGGGATCATCTGATGAAATACGTTAGGGATATTAAGAAGAGAATGAATTTAAGTATTGACTATTTCGTACTCTTGGAAGAAGCCAAACAGTGGTTTAGGGAAGGTAGCAAACTTTTAGTAATTGTTGCACGTAAGGCAACAACCGTAAAAGTGCCTGCAGAAGCCATCGACTTACTGCGAGAGATTGATGCTTATATAAAGCCTGGCGAAGAGCAGCAGGAGAAGAGAATTGAGAAGCTGAAACAATTATCGACAATAGTTTTCGGTAAAAGCGGCATCATATTTATGAGAAAGTGCGTGCCAAATAAAATAAGTGTGAAAAATGATCTGTTTGCAATGTAATGTTTTAGGTACAGACAGACTTCCGCAATTCAACGAGGTGGTAGTAGAGAATCGGCAAATGTTGGATTCCTTCGTAGTCATTTCTTCCGAGTTGCGTACCTTGAGTCAAAATTTACAGAATGCTGAACAACTCCGAGAGAAACTGCGAATCGAGAAGCTAGAAGCTGATAAGAAGCTACAAGCTGCTAAAATAGAGATGGCCGCGGCGGAAGCTGCAAAGACGGAAGCGGAAAACGCGAAAAAACTTGCGGAACAGCTTGCTGCTGAGACTTTAGATAAAGCTGCGATGGAAGCGAAAAAATTAAAAGAGGCAGAAGCACGAAAAATTGTTCTCCCCTGCAGTTCTCATTCCGTCTCCGCCCAAACTGATCAAACCATAATTGAAGAGACAATTACTTCCGCCGTGACAACGAAAGAAATTCATATTCTTCAAAAGGTACTTTAAACGGCGTATCTCAATTATTTATTAATTCTACAATTGTAAAATTTATGCTCGTTATAATTACAGACGGAAGTCGAGAAAAGTGTTCCGGTTATTCAGAAGGAAATTAGCCCACCAAGGAAGCTCGTATCTGAGGAGATACGCGACGAATATGCTAAAGAAGCACAAACAGAAGACAAAATCGTCTCATTAGCTCCAGCAGAATTCACAGTTCCTTTGAGTGATGCGACAGTTCAAGAAGGCAAAGAATTTAGTTTTGAATGCCATTTAATTGGTCAGCCAATACCAGAAATAGTATGGTACAAAGATGGAATATCGATTTTGAATAATCCAGACTATTTAACAACTTATGTAAACGGCGTTTGTACTTTAAAAATAGAAGAGACATTTGCTGAGGATTCTGCCAAATACACTTGCCGGGCGTTTAATATTCATGGCTCTGTCGAAACATCGGCCACTCTCACTGTCAAAGGTAACTTGATTTACATGCGAATTTTATTAAGAGTAGTAGTGTACTACATTTACTTATACATCGACTATTTAAATTAAATTAAAAATGTAAATTTAAATGTAGAAATTATCACGGAAGAACAACCAAATGCCCCCGTTTTCCTGAAAGAATTGCAGCCCTCTTTTGCGAGGGAAGGATGCTGTCATAAATTAGAGTGCACTGTTAAAGGAAATCCTCTCCCAACGGTCCAATGGTACAAAAATGATGTCAACATCGATAATTCGCCAGACTATGTTATTACTTTCAATAATGGAGAAGCTGTTTTGAAGTTTGACGAAGTTTTCTTGGAAGACAAAGCTTCGTATACCTGTAAAGCAACAAATCAATGGGGACAGTCGTCTACTACTGCTTCTTTAGACGTGAAACGTAAGTCTCGTAATGATATGTTGATAATCATGTTTTTTTTTTGTAATGACGCATTAAAAACATGTATACTTTTTCTATTTACGTAAATATAACGTAATTTTAGCCGCGCAAATTTCCGCAAAGAAACCATATTTCGTGGTACCGTTATCAAATATTATGGCCAGGGCAGGGCAAAGAGTGAAATTAGAATGCGAGGCTAATGGAGATCCAGTTCCCGAATTAATTTGGACTCACGATGGAAAGCTAATTGAAGAAAGCAAATATCATAAAGTAAGATAAGAGGCATTATAATTATTTTAATATATTTAACATAATCATTTAACGTAATCATTTGTATATTTATCCATCAGATTGAAACGGACGGTGCTCGAACATGCCTGATCATTACGGAAGCTTTTCCGAAAGATGCCGGATCTTACACGGTGACTGCCAGTAATGAAATCGGAAAAGCCACCGCAGCTTGTACCGTTTCTGTGAAAGGACGTTTGCTCCATGAAACCAGCGAATCCGATTTTGTTTGTAGCGACACAGAACCAATAGTCCCGAAATTTCAGTTACCTCTGCAGGATCTTAAAATTCAAGAAGGACAATCAACTAGGCTAGATTGCGTGATTGTAGGTCAACCTGAACCGGAGGTAAACTTTATTATAACAGATATGTTCCCAGAAATTTTTCATCTTTATACATAATTTCTTTTCCCATTAACTTTGTGACTGTTTAGGTAATTTGGTACCACGATGAACAACCTGTAAAAGAGTCGTCAGACTTCCAATTACTCTTCCAAGGTGATCGGTGTTCATTAATTATTCATGAAGCTTTCTTGGATGACGCCGGTGTTTATAAAGTAGTTGCTATTAATTCTGGTGGTGAAGCTTCTAGTCAGTGTACATTAACAATTACGCGTATGTATAATTTATATTCTTTTAAAAATTTAATATTTCATGTTTATACATAATACTTTTTTTTCTATTTCTAGCGGCATCTCACATCTCGGACGTAATCGATCGAGTGAAGGAAAAGGACGAAACCCTCACCAGTGCAGGTTTCGTGCCCAAGTTCGTGAAACTTCCTACGGATTTGCTGGTGGCTGAAGGCGAAAATGCAATTTTCGAATGTGTCGTAATTGGAGAACCTAAACCTGATTTAAGATGGTATTCAGATGACGGTGAAATGATTCATAATGAAAGGATTTTGGTGAGCGTATTTGTATTTGGCACAAATTGCATTTCATGTAATGTTTACTGAAATAATCATAATATATACTATATACTATATATATATATATATATATATATATATATTTTTTTTTTGTAAAATTGCGTTACAACGCGTAATAGATTGGAGAAAGAAAAGATGGAACAGCCTTTTTACAAATTTCATCAACGATACCGGAAGATAAGAGCAATTACGTGGCGAAAGCCATAAACATACATGGCGAAGCAAAAGCTTTCGCCAGATTGGTTGTGAAATCGCTTGGTGATTTTAAAAGGAACGAAGAATTTATCCAGATGGAAGAAAAACTGATTCAACCAACATTTAAAGAAACGTTTCAGGACAGAAAAGTACTCGAAGGAGTTTCAACAAAATTCGAATGCATCGTCGCTGGTAAACCTTCTCCTAAGGTAAATTAAAGGCAATTAAAGGCAATTTCTTTCAAAAATTACATATTGTATTTTTTATGTGTTCTCGCGTATGATGAAACAAATCTTCATGCCTTTTTTAAAAGTCGGCTACACTGAAAAATCCTAATAAAGCTAAAAAAATTAGTGGACATAAAAACTTGTTAATTCTTAGAATTTGTAAGCATAATGATAATCATATTATGTCTGTTCTTAATAAAGTAAGCTTTATAAGTATTATTGTGTACAAAGAAAAACACTAAAGAGTCGGATATTATAGTCATAGTCTACAATATTAAGAATAATATGATTTTTGTTTGATCACAATTAATGAGATAGACAATAAGGAATATACTAAACGTAATTAATACTAAACGTAAGCAATATCAAACGTTATATAAAGAAGCAAACTTAATAGAATATTATATCCTATAACTTATTTGTATTATAAGATTGTTTGAAGTATCATATAATGAACGTTATAGTAAGAAGATTGTTGATTTGTGGTGCTTGAAGTCTTAGCGTTTTAAAATTTGCATTAGTCACGTATTGCATTGACAACGTCTAGATGAGAGGTTGGCCGGCCTGTCAGGACGGGGTAAAAGTAATTTTGTGCCCGACGAGTTATATTTAAACGCGAACAATATACTTGATGTGAAAAGCTCGATTGCAGTCGCGCCGCGGAGCATAAGATGGAACTTTCGATGTGACGCGAAGAACTGTGATCTTGTCACCGAGGTACCATGTACTTCGTTAACATCTTTCTCGTCTCCTTATCAAAATTGTAAATTATCGAATATAACGAAAATGTAAACATTTGTACATATTTTTTCTTGATACACGTGTATACACGTGTTCAATGTGCTTATTTCTTATTTGATTAATTAACAGCGGATTTTATTATGAATATTTCTTTTTTATAGATTCATTGGTTGTTTAATGAACGGCCAGTTCATGGGAAAGATTTTCTGGTTTCCGTTAGCGGGGATCGACAAGTTCTGACAATTCCTGTGGTCGGAGACGCACATGTCGGTACTATCTCTTGCGTAGCGGAAAACGCGGCTGGTAGAGCGGTTTGTAGTGCTAAAGTAGAAATTGGTAAGTTGATATCATTTGCACATTTTTACTTTGTATTTTACTTGCTTTTTATTAACAACTCATTTTCTAATATTGCGATAATATGATTATTTTAATTCTTTCATTTTCTTCTGTGTGAAATGTTGGAAATAATATTCGAAATATTGCAACGGTGTCACAAGTTATTAATACTCGCGTTACCCAGTCCAACGTAGCTCATTCAAAATTCCCAGTCAACGATAGATAAAATAGTCATCCGATGAGCGAACGCAGAATCGAAAAGAACATATAAGTATACTAGCTGCTACTTTGAAATTTGATAACATTATTTTTGCTTTAAATTAAATATTTTTGATCTGTTATTACTAAGTATAGTTGCCACTACTTTCATACGTTGCATTTATAGCGTGACCTGAATATATAAATTTACAACATAAACTTCTCTCTCTCTCTCTCTCTCTCTCTTTCTCTCTCTCTCTTCTGTACGCAAAACATTAAGCATTAAATAGTATAAAAGAAAGAAATCTAGATTCATATTTTATAAAGAAAAAATTTAAGAACACTTCAAAAACGCGAGTCATTCTTCTCTTCACCCGGCTCTTCTTCTCTTATTTTATGAGCAAGCAGAAACCGTGTTATTTTTATCAGTACGAATACTCGCCACACAATCTGGTCTTTCGAAAAATATAAATACATTTTTGTAGCAATATCAGTTAATATTCACGTTAATATTTGCGAATAACTTTCGGTAACGTGCGCTTATTATTATATGATATTGTCGATACAAAAATAAATCTATCTATTAAACTTTAGAAAATATTGCAATATCAATCAATAACATCAGAATATTTTATTTAGCTATTTTTACATTTAAAAATAAAAAGTATTTTAAAAGATTATAAAATAATTTAATGATATATGATTTTTAAATTTATTAATTTATTTCTAATTAATAAATAAGAAGAATTAAGATATAAGTATACGAAAAAGTCTAAAGTGATATCGCTTATCGGATATCGCGAGCATAATACGCGCACATCATTAAAGAGTATAGAATGACAACGATAAATTGGGTCTTGGGTTATATATTGCAGCCGAGTGCTCGATTCACCTATTACTAGGTGAACGATACTATTTCTGTCGTGGATCGGAGATCGGAGGCAAAGTATTTCGTTACTTCGCTGGGTGCATTTCGACCGTGCGGTTGGTACGCTCCAGTACTCTTGATTTCTCGATACCTTACATTTACAAAGTGAATATTATATATATGTTAATTAAAAGTAAAACATAATTCGATGTATAATTACGTGGAAACAATTCAGTTGTTCTCGTACAATATAATTTCTTTTTATGTATCTATTTAATAAATTTAATAACCGTTGTTTAAATAATCGGATAGAATATAAAAAAGAAACACTAAAATAAGTATATATTATAATTATAATATAATATTGATAATAATACTGATTTATAAAAAGATAAACTTGAAATAACGTAAATAGAATTGTTATATAGTATTGTTCTTTTATTTTTTATAATTCTCAATCGCTATATCTCTCTCAAAGTGTATTTGATTATTAATATTTATCCATACATCAGAAGAATGTAATCGCTTTATTGACATAATTGGAATAATTTCCAGATAGTGGATCAGTGAGGCCGGCTGCAAGTGAAGTAAAAAAAGTGCTCGAGTTAGTTCCTACAGGCATTATGCATCCTGCAAGCAGTAGCGATAAACGCTTTCTAAGCGAGAAAACATGTCACGAAGGTGGTGGTGAGAGTCAAGTGTTAACCAAAATGTCATCAACTGTCACACATTCTTCAACAATGTCTACAAAAAAAGAATTCTTATCATCCACTGTGACTTCCACTTCATCGCAATCTGGACACGAACCTACTAGCGTTTGCACAAAAACAACTGTGCAAAGTTCCGAACAGTCTACTTCAGAAAACGGAGCACCACCTATCGTACAAGTAAATATATACTTAATACATCTGTTTGAGATGGCATTTTTGTAAAAGTAATAGCTTACGTTTGTCTTATTTTTACGTCAAAATCGTGAATGCACACATAGATATATTAATTAATTTAAAAAAATAATAATAATAATATTGATCTTCTAGTCTCAAAAGATCGAGGAGTATGAAAAAATTATACAAGAGCAGCCTGGAGAGATGAGACAAGAGAAAACCGTTCTCGTGTCTGCAGAAACGGAAGGTGTAAAACACGATGTTAAGGCAAATCAAGTTCAAAAACCATCTCGAAAACTGGTAGCACCAAGATTCATTTCACCGATTACAGGAATGATTGTCGATCAAGGAACTGATGTAGTTCTCGAAGGTATCATTGATGGTAAGTGTATGCGTTTCACATTATACGAGTATTTAAATAATCATATAATTTATATATATATTTGGAGATTGCGATTGTTTGTCAATATATACGTACGGTTACCTTTTTCATTATTTCGACTGTTTTTAATTTATTTCAGGTTTTCCACCACCGACGATTCTATGGTCAAAGAACGGTCAAGAACTGACATTGAAAGATAATATAAAAACTAGTTATGCTCACAGTCACGTAAAATTGGAATTGAAGAATGTCAATGTGAAAGATGCTGGACGTTATACCTGCAAAGTGAGCAATGACGTTGGAAGTGCTAGTAGCACGGCTGACTTGGTCGTTAAAAGTAAGTGCGGCGCGGTATACATATATATTAATGAGAGGATTGTACATAAAATTTATACAATGTGTAAGAATAATTTGCTGCTTATGTATAATTTTAGAAACAATATTTCCTCCGGTTTTCGGCAAGCGTCTCAAGGCCCAAGTAGCAAAGAAAGGAGATCGTGTTATTATGGAGGTAGAAATTACTGGTATTCCTGAACCCACAGTCAGTTGGTATAAAAACGATGTGCCGATCAATGAACAATCACCAAACTTGAAAATTATTCAACAAGGAAATTGCTACGCGCTACTTATGGACAAAGGTATATTTCTGTTCCCATATTCTTATCAGTCATCACATGTGGCTACATGTGAATAAATTTTAACTACTACTCTCTCATCTTATAATTATTAGTAACATTTAAAGAATTCGTTTTATTAATCTATTATGTGTATAATTATAGTCAAAGAAGAAGATGCTGGCAAATACATGGTACGAGCGACAAACGCCGGTGGCGAAGCGCAGAGTATCGCTGATATCGCGGTTTTCGAACCGAAGCCTGATACTATGGTCGAGGTGCATAAGACTGTCATTTACGAAAACATTCAGGATAAAAGTGCCGTCCAGGTAACTCTCATATTTTTTATATAAATAAGCTTTATAATATTTTCATAATAATAGTAATATGAAGCAAGGGAATAATGTGTAATGTTCTCTGAGTCAATATGCTATTTACTGTTTCTAAACACTTGTAAAACCATATAACTTGCATTTAGTCTGAGGGAAAAAGAGAAGAGATGTCATCAGGCATTTCAACGAGCGAACAAACACCAACGACAGCGGTCCGACAGTGGCAGTTAGTCGGATTGCCCAAACCTATTACAACATTGGCATCGACTGCAAACGACATTGTGCAAAAGATCGACGAACCAGAAATAAAGACTAGTAAATCGGAAACGATTTCATCTATAATTGAATCCCATAAAACCGAAACGAAGTCAGAACAGAAGTTCCATATGAAACTGGAACATAAAACTCCATCCATCGTGGATTCCAAACCTCGAACCGAGCAAACGATCGCGACAAAGGAAATCGACCGTGACAAAACAGATGTTACGAAGCCGTTAATGAAAACGGAAGAAAGATTAACGATCGATAATGAAAACGTAGAGACTTCTACGATCGCAAAAAAAGATGCATTGAGCTTCTTCGAGTCCATTACGAAGGAAAGTGAGATAATGCCAAAAGGGCCAAAGGAAATGATTAAGCTGACAGAAGACGGACAAATTCAAGAAGCGAAAGTTGGAAAGTTAACCAAAAATTATGAACGAGCAACTGTTTGTCAAGAAGCGAAGAAACCGGAAGCAAAACCGTCAGAGTTCCAAATAGCAAAGAAAGCTGCCAAGGATATTTTTACCAAGTTAGAACAAGGATCGTCGTCTCGCGGAGTGGAAAATAAACTATTTGAATTTCCATACGAGACTCCTAAGCTGCCCTCAATGGAGGTACAAGAAACTGTAGAGAAAATGATAGTTTCTGATTCGTCCATTTCGGAAATTCAGACCAAGAGTTCTGAAACGATGATGAAAAGTTTCGATCTAGTGCCGGAACCACCTCCCGAGATATGCTATATGCCAAAACCGGAAGAGATGAAAAAAAAACGACCCGATGTATTCGTCAAAGCAAAACAGCTTCAGGAATCTTTTGATAAGACACTCTCTCCGATAGATGCTCCAATCGGAGGTGTAAAGATCTTTCCTACGTCTATTCCTACATCAAAAGTACCAGAACCTGTCAAAGTCGCGGAACCTATTCTGGCATTTACGATACCACCGCCATTTGAACTTGAGAAGAAAAAAACAAGCGTAGAGACATTTGAAGAGACACGCGTAAAGAAAGATGCATACGAGAAGAAGGAAAGCAAATATTTTAAAGAAGAAAAGATAGAACCATCGAAATGCACTTCAACGTCTATTTTGAGAAGTACTTCTCCTATCAGACCGTGGTCATCATCATCGGATGTCGAAACCAAATCGCACGTGTCTACGGACCTATCAGAATATAGATGTCATTCGGCTGCTTCGAGTCATCAAGAGATTTTGAGATCTACGTCGCCAAAACCATCTGCAGACGCACTGGCGATGGAAAAATCCTGGGCGAAAAAATACGCAGATTCAAATAGAAAATCGTGGCCACCGCAAACCAGACCTACTCAAAAGTACGAATGGAGTATTCCTGTTGATGAATACAAAAGCTCTTCGAGAGAATTTGAGCAGAAGATTGAGGAAACACCGCAAGGCGGAATAAAGAAGATTAGTACGGAATCGTCCGCCAATGTAGAAAAACACTCGTGGTGCAGCAAAGAAAAGTTCACTGAAAAGATAGTGGAAGCACCTCCGTCTACGTCTAAACTAGGCCCGATAATCTATAACGCCGAGACGATTAAAGTCGATCATACTGTAAATACTGTGCAAGAGAAGGCTTTGTTCGAAAAATACACTACTGAATGTAACATGGAAAAAGCTGAAACAATACAGAAATTTGAAGATTTCAGCTCAAAACGTTGGACAGAAGACAAAGAGTTGAAAGCACCTAGTTTGGTAAAGAAGGTCAGCCTCGTGCCAGCCTCGAAATCGCTCGCAACATCACATCGTCTTATGGAGCCAGCAGTGGACTCGATCGTTTTCGAGCCAGGATCTCCTCCGGAGATTGGATATATTCCACCACCCGTTGCAAAAGAAAAAACTGTATTGCAACATATCACGAAAGTAGAAAAGAAAGTAGAAGAACCACCCATGCTTCCACCGAAAGATGTACGCGTTACACCGCCGCCTATTCCAGCGAAAAAACCTATCAAATTCTCGACACCAATTCCGTCAAAGTTCATTAAAGGTGCCTTTAGCCATGAAAGTGATTACGAGTCCGATTTCGACAGCCGCCCGAAACCAAAATGGAGACCTTATGAGAGCGATAACGAAGAACCGCATTATCGAAAGGTCGAAGCACCTGTTCCGAAACAGCCGAGGCCAAGGTCCACCGAACCCGAGCCACTTCCACCTTCCAAGTTTGAGACTCCTGCACAATTTACAGGACCATCCAAATCACTTATTACCACGGAAACTTCCGAGAAAACAGCGAGAAAAATGACATTTAAACGACACGAAAGAGAATTCAAACAACAACAGCAAAGTCCGATTCCTTTAAAACCCGGTTCTCCACCGATTTACGTACAGACGAGCACGAAGAGTTCCGCGCCAAAATCTCCTTCTATCAAAAAACCGGAATCTCCGAAGTTCAAAACAAAAGTTTTTCAGCAAGAAAGCGGTTATATGGCGGACACTGATGAGCCATTCCAGCAGAAGACTTCATCCATGACGACGCAAAAATTTCTTGGAAAACGCGACGGCCCCTCGACAATGGTTCACACAGAAAGTCGTACTATGTGCACTGAGAGTCGAACAAAATCCTTTGAAAGTCATAGTTACGGCGAAAGTGGCCATTTACGAAAAGAAGAAACTTCCTTTGTTTCACCACCTATTTGTAGTATACAGACGACTCCCAAAGCTGTTCAACAACAACGTAGCTCGTTCGAGAAGAACTATGCGTCAACAACTAGCAGTAGCCTGAGCAAATTCGATTCCATGAAGGTTCGAGATTTGATGCGTGTCCGTGTGCCATTTCAAATGTTATTTTTTTTTTCATGCTTGCCTAAGAAGTTTATTAATAAGTATCGTGAAATATTTTGTAGATTTTAATATGTACTTTAACTTAGCTATCAGATTGTATTAATAAATATATATGTGTATGCGATTTGTGCTTTTTTTCCTTTTTGTAGCGTTTTATACATTAAATTAAAAGTCTTTACAAAATGTTGTTTGCAGGAGACGGGATACTCCATAAACCAATTGCACAGAAAGTTGGAACCAGCGGAAAAAATTCCGTCAACCTCTCCGGGTCCTTCGAAATTAGTGAAGGGTGACTTCCGCGAGAGCGACTACGAGAGTGATTATGATGGCAGAACATCGTCATGCCGAACGGGTAGCTCCACGAAATTTAGTGTTGCTGATTCAGGTATTACTTAATAAAATTAATATATTTAAATTGGAATACTTAATACTGCGTTACTTTCTTAATTAACATAATATTGTGACATATATATATGTATATATATACATACATACACATACATATATCTATTGTACATATATATGTATGTATATATAGCGAGTTATTTATGTTAGAATATAACATATTACAATAAAAATCATTCTGTTATAAATATAGCAAATAATGTAGAAATAAAACGGTAACAATGTACAGTCTTTCTTGCAAACTTTATCCAAGCACAAGTTCTCTTGTCTAGCTTTGCATGCCATTTATTTCATTTTAAAGTAATTATTAAGTTTCGTCTTTTTTACAATCGCCGCCGTTCATTTCTTCATAATAAATCTACTTTTCATAGAGCATGTCTTTCGCTATCACATTATAACCGGTTTTATCATCATAAGATCGAGAAAAGTCCGAGAATTTATGAAAGTGACATTGAAAACTGAATTAAGACTTAATATTACGATCGAAACTCGTCAAGTTTTGATTATTTTAACTTTAATAAGATCCGTTTGACATGTAAAACCCGACCGCTACCACTCTCTGCCAGTATTTTTCCTTGATTCTTTTTGTTATGCTCTTTTCTCGAACTGCCAGAAGAGATTTGAATGGAGATCACACAGGCAAACTTTTCATATAGGGAAACCAATGGAGTCGAGTTCGCCTCGCAAGCATACAGTAGTGATACCGACAAAACCAAAAACGGTTCTCTTACCTGGCTCTCCGCCGGAAATCGCTTATGCGCCACCTCAACCGCAGCAACAATTTTACGAAGCACATACAAGCATGCCGTTTACAAATGCGATGGGCACAGAGACGAAGAAAACCGTGAGAATGGACGAGTCAACGGAGAATGCTAGAAGGATTGTTACTGTTGAGCAAACAAGTCGCATCATTAAGTTCGGTGACACCAATGCCACACCTGTCCAGAAACAGCAAACGGTTAATTATTATGTACCTAAACCGAAAAAATTTGTGCAAGGACAATTCCGGGAATCTGATTACGAGAGCGATGTAGATTCAAGCAGAATTCGACCAAAATGGGCTCCAGCTGATAGTGACACAGAGGAACCATATTACCGAAGAGTTCAACCACCCACGGGAAGAAGTCCAAGATCTTTGAGTGCACCAGTTAGACAGACACACATCGCATCGCCGATGGAGTTCGATACCGGTCCTCCGACAACGTCATTGATGCATATTTGCAAAGAAGATACAGATAAAAAGATCAATTTCCAAAAATATCAGCAGCATACAACTTCCGGAAAGATTGGCAATGTTTTGCAGCCTGGTGCACCACCTGAATACGGATTCATCTCGAGAAGCGATGTAAAAAGAGCAGCGGGCCGTAAGAGCAATATCAATGCTACATAATATTTTCACAATGTGTTCTTAATACAAGTGTAGATATAATTTTTATTTATGACAATCGTAGACAAATGCACTCAAAATTATCGCTTTATATCTTTGCCGACCACTTGTTCTCTATTTGGCTGATTATTAATTTCCTTTTCTTTTTGTTTCATAAATTATTTTTTATTCTATTAGTCTCTTTTCTTTTTTTTCATTTAAAAAGTAGATAAATCCTTGTTCTGTAACACAAAGTTCTGAAATCTTCACAGACATCGCGTCACGTCATATGCGTGATATGACAAGCAGCTTCAAATCAAAAACCGAAAAGTTTGTGAGCGGTATCCAATCGGATTTGAAACAGGGTAAGCCGATTTTGAAGCATCCTAACGACTCCAAGATAACCGATAGTGACGAGCCAAGAACTTATAGAGAAGAGTCGCGAGTCTCCGAACACGGTAATACCAATATTACCTTTCTTATAATTAGTCTAAACTCCAAAAGATAGATTTAGCTCGTTGTAATTTCGTGATTTGATTTGTATATATTAAACATATATGTATATACAATTGATATAAAAATACAATACACGCTCCTCCACACACACAAACACGCACATCTGATTCGACACATAAGTTTAAGATCTTTTAATCTGACAATGAGCGTAGAATATATCGTGTGCATGAATAAGTTTATAAATAAATTACATTGATGTAAAGCATGTAATGCTCATTGGCGCGAACAGGAACAAAACAAATTGATCCGGATACTGGACTCATATACTTCAAGTACGATTTTGGTTACGAATTCGGTATCGTTTTACCTGGCGAGGGTAAAAAGACGATTGAACGTAGCAAGAAGAGCATTCAAGGACAGAGACGTTCCAGCGATATAGAAGTGCCTATAATCCACGAGTTCACTGAAAAGAAAGCGAATGGTTTTATGAAAAAAGCAACATTTCTGAACCGCCAAAACAAGATAGGAAATAAATTCGGAAACTCAAAAACTGTCAAATGGGAGCCGACATCGGAAAGCGAATTTTCTGAAGCTGAAGACACAAAGAATCGCAATAAAAAGCAATCGAATAAGGGAGATATAGAAAACTCGATGATGCCTCCAAGTCTCGTCATACCTAGCTCTGTATCACCGTCAAGATGGGATCGCACAACGCCCAGTCCGCTTTCTCTTAGTCCAAGCCTGCCAAGCCTCTCTCCAAGACAGAGTAGCGCTACTGGACCACCTAGCAACGTGGATTCTGCAGGTACCTGCATACCTGTCATCGAGAACGCGTGTTGCCTTTATCAATTCTTTTTCTTTTGCAGCACTTTTTATTTTGCTTTGCTTTGATCGTTTTTGTATATTATTGTAATAATATTATTGTAATGCAAAAAACTGTTTCTTTCTATTTATTAAATATTCTCTCGTTATTTTTAAATAGCTGTAATAGCTTCTATTGTAATTGGCATTAAAACTGCACCCTTGCTTTCCTCGTGCACTCGGATTTTTCTCGAGATTTTTCTAACAAATTTACAATATCATAAAGTGTAATTTAGGAAATAATGATTAAGTGTAATAAACTTTTCTTGATGCTGCTTAATATTGCTTTGAAACTAGGTGGCTCCTTACTTTCACGCATTCTAATACATATTATACATTTATTTAGTCTCTAACAATAGGCTGTAACTACTCGCTATTATGCTATTATATATCAGATTGCGCACGAATCACTTTGTCACGTTTAAATTGTTTTATTGTCACATACCATTAATAGTATTCTTCCATTAAGTTTCATCGAAAATCGCAGGTTCACCGTGGCCGATTAGCAACGGAGTATCATCAAGTAAAGAAATAATTCAGCCTTATCTCGAAATATTACCGAAGAAGTCTCCTTCATTCATTACGGTAATACTGTTAAATTAATAACATTAATAATGTCAAATGCTTTTTATTAACTTTAAAATAATTCTAATTAAAAATAACGCTAAGAAAATAATTTTTTTTTATCATTATTACAGCCACTAAAAGATATCGCGGTAGTAAGCGGACAGCCAGCCAGATTCGAGTGTATCGTTCAAGCTGAACCACAGCCCAATATTCTTTGGTCAAAAGACCGTAGAATCGTCGAAAATTCTAAGAGCCACGAAGTCCAATATAGAAACGGTGTTTGTCGTCTTACCATAATGAGAGCTTTGCCCGGTACGATATACAAGTTGTATTTGATGCTTATCTTTTCTCCGTAATCTTTTAATATTTACTGTATTAATTTATTTTTGCATTACACAGTTAATTATATTCAAATGCAGAAGAAGATAATAATTCTGTTAGATAATTATGTAGATTTTTTTTGTGCAGAGGATGCTGGGACTTATGCATGTACGGCAACGAATAGTTTAGGTTCCACCGTAACTTCTGCCAACTTGGAGGTTCCAGGTAATAGACGATCTATATATGCTCCTATTTCGTAAGAATCTGGTAAGAAGAGAGACAAATAAATGTAAAGGTGGTGGAACATTTCATTCTTAACTTGGCGGTCTGCTGATGCCGGAGATTTGCATCGTATCGTATTATTCGATTATTATTTACCCAGGCCACAAACTAATATGATGAAGGAAATAATTACATATAATGCTCGACACACTGTATTTTCTACGCGAGAAAAAATTTTTACAAATTTTTAACAAACTAAAAATAAGCGAATAATTCGATGTCAAAATGGCTCTTCTGGTATGGCTCTTGCTTCTTGTCGGGGATAAACAACAATTTTTGTCGTAATATATAAAGAAATAAAAATAAGTGATACTACTAATCATGCTAAAGGATAGAACAAAAATGGATCGACATCGTCTCAATGAGCATAATTATTTCTATTGCATTTTATTCAAATGTTCAAATTAACGTTTTGACAAAAGCTAGTCAACACTAAATCGAGCTAGTCAATATTATAACGAGCGGATAACGAAAGAAACGCAATAAAAAACGCAAAGACCTTCTTATTAATTGTGCCATTGGACAAGTTAAGAAAAGTTTTTCTTGCATACTTTATTTCTTCTCTGTCTAACGTCTTATCTGTTTCAAGTATTGACTTTCTAAATATTAAAATATTATATTTTCGACTTATCTTTAAGTATACTAATTATTTCTTGCCAACATTGTTACAACAATATTAGAATTACAAGATTTTTTTCGTAAAACTAACTTTGTCGAAGGTAATGATTAAAAATAAAGCATTTTATAAAATAGAAAATAAAAGCAATTTCCTGTTTCAATCCAAAGATTAATATTAAGATTATTTTACTTATATTAAATTACTCTATTTATGCATCATGTGCGTGATATTGTTGGAACTAGTCATATTACCTAAAAACATTATGATAAGAGAAAGTTACTTATTGTTAAATGGTAAATAAATGCAATAAGAATACTCAATCATTCTAGATGAGGCTTCTTATTTTGTAGTTCTTACAAGTTTCTATGTCAATTGTTTTTGCTTAAACAGAGAAGTTGATATTTTATAGCTAGACGGAATATGGGATCTGTTACGGGGCATGTACGGCCTATGCTATAAATCGCTATGCTATTAGCTCCTTGCGTCAATAGTTGGCAGAGATAATTTACGCATTTAGCATGTTCAAACAATACAGTCACAAAAAAAAACAGCATTTCTTGAATAATATCACGAAAGCTCAACGTTTTGTAAGTTATGTAAATGATTACTTCTCAATATGTAATAAATAACAGAAGACAATTTAAAAATAAGATATTTTAATACAATACATTTTCTCATCGCAAGGGGTTAACTCTTATTTATTAATCTCGCTATTCAACGTAAATTCACAATAATACTTATATATTATGTATGTAAATAAATATACGCTTTCTCTATCTATATATACTTGGGTAAATGGTTTAATAAATTATTTCACATTTTTGCCTATATTCCTCCCTTTTTTATTCTGCCTTTGTAATTGTCTTTTTGTTGGCGTTTACAATTGTGATGTGCATTGATGATGAACAGAAATCTAAGGTAAGCCTCTGATTATTTTTTAAGTAAACAGTGTCAAAATGTTATATATAAACATTATATTTTTTTGCAAATAATCTTTCACAAATAGCAAAAGTCTGATAAAATTTTTTCTAAACATTTAATTTTAAATTAATTGCAGTATTAATGATTAATTACAGAAATTGTGAAAAAGGACTTTTCTTGTGTTTTGAAAGAAATGCTCTTTTGCATGTTAATAGTTAAATATGTAATTCTCTAACAGTATGTCGCTATATTATTTTTTATTATATTTAAATATTCTTTAAAAAATGTTCGTAAAATTGCCCTATACCTATATATTTAAACTACATATTATATGTACATATATGCTAACTTTATTAATTTTATTATACATAATATTTTCAAATAACTTCGAGCACTTATGATTAAAAAGAAAAATAATTTCTTATTGATACTAGATAAACTACTAGCGATTAGAATATTATATCATCTCACACATAAATGATAAAATTTTCTATCTCTTGTAATAGATATTATAAAGTTCGAGATTCATTTCTTACATGAAAAACAGAGATCATCTCGTATGAAAATAGATGGTAAAGTAATCTTGTGGAATGTGGAGGAAAATGTGAGTCGGCAATCCAAAAATATACGGAAGAAAAACAAGCGACCTTATTTGTGGAGAGAGTGTTAATTCGTTTTCTCCACGACTTGTCAGTTAAATGTATAATAAGAATTCAAATGATTATATTACACTTTCCAAACGGTATTGCTATTTAATTACAGGCGCACCATCATCCATACGCAGCACTCACCACGATCAAAAGGAATGCACACTCGAACGTTTTCCACAGGATTTACCAAAATACGTAGCTTTAAAAGACCTATTCTCATCGCAAGACAAATATGTTAAACTGACTTTGACAAATCGCGAGCAACCGTATGAATCTTTTTACGATCTCGGATTAACTGCAGATTACAGGTAGTTGAATCGATCATTTAATGCAATTCATTAAGTTTTATTACCAAACTATCATTAAATTATATGACAGTTTCATAGAAGGAAACAATTGCGAAAACGCAGGGAGAGAATTTGATGCAATGCAGATAACAAATTATATCGAGCGTGAATTAAATACTATCTATACGAAAAATGGAACTAACATCGATAGTTCATGTTTGGATACCAAACCCTCATTGCATAGTTGCGATGGAGTGCATAGCTGGAAGAACGGTGAGTATTTAATGAGAATTCGCCTATCTAATAAAATAACAATATTAATTTATGTGTAAAATTATGAATATAACGCATACGTATATGCAATATTTACGGATAAAAAATAATATCGATTTTGCGAAATAAAGTATCGACTTATAAATTATTTCAACTTAAAGGAATTTTGCGGTGAGTCTATGCAATTTTCAATTGCATCGCCGCGCGCCGCTCTTTAATAATGACCGTTGTTGTCGTCACCTAAAATAGAACACAATAATAGATAAAATATATAAGTTCGCGATACTCTTAGTAGTATGTATGTTACTTTCGTCTTCAGCATTTGAATCATAACATCATCAAATGCAAAGATTCTCTCGTCATCTCGACCGAGATTATTTCACAAAATCTTAAAATAGATGCGTCGCTATGCGGCATCTTGGACGAAACTCGATGATTCATGCGTGACCTACCTTCTTCATGATTATACCAATGTTCTTGGCTTCGAAAGTGCGGAATGGTATTTACTTCCTTGCGTGCACCGTAATCATTAACGTTCGTTTCTTATTGATTCCGACAATAAATACGTAAAGCACTTTCAGAAAACTGATATAGATTAATTGCGATGTAAAATAAACATTACACTTAAAGTTATGTATCGTTAATACGTATAAATTACTATTGGAGAAATAATACGGACGGTATATAAGTATCACAATCGGTGTTGAAACGTTAATAGTTATATAGATAAAATCATTCTCATATATTGCTTAGAAATAGAAGACTGCAATTATTTGTAGTCAGCGAGTGTATGAGATATCTATGAAACCTTAAGAGTATGAAGATGTTTTTCAAGTCCAACAAAGTCCCCCGCAAAGTTCTCCCTCAATGGTATTAAAAATATGTCTCAAGGACAGAATTCGAGTCGTTATGAGACAATCCCCCACGTTGTTATTAGCTTCATTGATATGCGTGCACATGTTTTTAGAATGTAGTGTGTAACGACTAGGCAGTTTGAGTTCACAAGCGCAGTGCGCAGGCGGTGCGTTCTCAGAGTCGCGATCAGGGGCTGCTTGCGTGGCTAAACTTGGCTGAAGCTATGCACATACAACATTTTCTACCGCCAAATTCCGTCAAGAAAGAGAATAAACGTATAGATCGAATAGACTGAGGTGAAAACTAAAGAAAGAGAAAGAGAGAAAATGGCAAAATTGTGTCAATCCTGAAACACACACATACAATATGTATATCATGTCATAAATAATAATAATAATAATAATAATAATAATAAGAAGAAGAAGAAGACATTTGCAATATATTCGAGGCGCAAAGAAATAAAAAAAGTGTGGAGAATGAAAAGAAAAAAGAATGAGCGTGCGCATTCAAGCTTGAGAATCTAGAGTGCTTATAACTTTATGGAGGGGAGCAACGAAAGAGAGATGTGAGTACGGAGAGGGCAATAAAGATGCGTGGGTGGCTGTCAGTGAGCGCAAGAACGCTGCGTAAGACTTTACCACCGTTTTACCGTTCTACTCGACAAGATATGTTATAAGCTAATTATAATATCTATAAAATCTTATCTGTATCGGACAAATCATTGGTCTTCAACACAAACCTGTGGTTATCAGAAAAATAAAAAACAACATGTGCAATTTATGGAATATAAAAACCAAAAAACAAGAAAGATGTGATATAGCATACTTATCCCATTTTATACAAACGTATTGAATATATGAGATACCTCTAATCCCTCTCCTCCTCTCTCCGATTTTCATTCCGATCATTATATATCATAAAACAGAAAGAAATTGTTGAAATTTGTTTAAATACGTTGAGCTGACCCTCGCACACCCTATATTCCTCTTGTTCTTCCTAAGCGTACTTCCGCACGCGTCAGGCATCGGTCGGGGCGTTTAAACGTGCCCCACCCTGACCATACGACACCCTCCCCATCTTCTTATGCTTTAGCCAAGCGTCAAGTCGTAACCCGTCCAATTCGCATTCGACCGACGTCTTGGTTTAAAGAATCACGGGGACAAGACTTTTGACGATGACTTGATTTCTGCCGACTGACTGAACTGAACCGCGGTTACCAGCAAAACTGCGTGTATTGCGGAGTAAAGCGAAATAAGTGCGAGTGATTTGCTCCAATTCGTCGTTGTGCATCAAGAGTTTGTTTGTTAAATCTCGGGTGATAAAACACAACGTTGAGAGAAAAAATAAAATAAAATAAAACAGAGATCTCTTTAGATTCTCTAGATTAATTAGCAGTTTATTATTACTAAGTCATATAACTGGTCACAATTTTGTCATTCAAACGACTCACGACTTTACTGAAATTTTCGATCCAAGATGAAGCGACAACAATTTCAAGAACAGCAGAAGCAACAACAGCAGCAACAAGCTATCATGCAAGAACAACAGCAACAATACATCCAGCAACGGACGGAAAGACAAATCACGCGACAACAAATCACCAGTCAGCAGAGAGGTCAGTTGTGACGATGTTTGAAAAGTCAAGAAATTATATCCTTGAGCAATTGCCTATCGAATATGAAGAATTCAAGCAAGAAGAACGATACAGAAAATTTATCTTGACGAACTCAGGATTTATTGCATATTAATAAATTTATATAAAAATACATTTTACAATGTAATTTCGAGATATTGCGAGTGCTTGTGAAAGATAGCGGTGCATATTTTCACGATTTTATTTTTTCAAATTTTTCTACCGAAAATAAATTCAATCTAGCAGTTTTAATAAATCTCTTCTGGTGGATATTCCGTCAACGAATACTCGTATTCTATTTCTGTGCAAAGAGCACCGTCCGTGCGAGAGCTCTAAAGATAGTTCTCCACACTCTCGACATAATCGTTTCAAAAATTCTTTTATATGCTGTCTGAGGAATATGACATTGTATTACGTATCATATCAAGAAAATACGCATACATCTAAAATAGTTTAAAAATTTTTTTTCTATTAACAGTTTACTTTGAAAATTTTAATTCCAACGTGCTTAAACACACAAAAAAAGGAATATATTTAATTCAATATACTGCATTGTCAAGAGGTGACTCTTATTATATTTCACACTTTATTTGCTTAGTTGAAAAGAAGTATTACATGTACCTCCAATTTATTTATATGTAGAGACAGAATTCATTAATATTAAGATTATATTATCTCTATACATATATATAGAACTTCTCCCTTAAGAATAAAAAAACGCTGTTTTTGTAATATAAAGAAAGTAAAGTATAAAATAAAAATTAAAGTTTTTTAAAGTTTAAAGTTTTTTATTAGTAAAGTAATAAAAAATTACTTATAACTTAGGATCATATTACAGCAAATTTTAAACGAGATAAACGTGATATTGAGAAAATTCCAAATCAAATTGCAAAATTTACTTCAAAAAATGTTTATTATGTGTATTTTGTTTGCGATTATTTAATTTATTGCGAAGAGTTCTATGCAAATTAGTACAATTTTATTTCACAAAAAATTTTAATTTTGGGGACTCTTATAGAAATCTGAAGAACGGCGTGTTTGCGCATTAATATTCTGTATTATACATTCAATATTATATCTTGCAAATACATTTTTTTATATACATATAGAATAATATAATAGTTAGAAATAAATTTCCGTTATCAAAAATAGTTTCACTAAAGCACGTTTGCCAACTGCGTTATACGTTAAAGAATTGAAGAATATGGATGTGTCAGAGAGTACGGCTGCCAAATAATATAACACTGACAGGTTTATGAATCTCACTTACATCAATGTGTGCATCGAAACGTGTTGGATTATATTTCAATGTGCGTAAAAGTAAAAGACAATGAAGTACAGTAAGCAAATCCGTTACGCTAGTAGCTACTGCGTTAAAGCGTTAAACTAGTGTCTTTCACGTACGCAAAGAAGGATTAAATATTCACGTCTCGAAAAATCTCATTAGAAGTATTTACGAATAATATCGTCATATAAGATATAATTATTGCTTAAAATTTTAATTAAAAAGAAAAGAAAAACATATATATGTATAATAAATAGGATATTGTACAATACTTTCTTTTTATAAACATATTTATTTTATTATGCAAAGTTTCTATAAAAGTCGGCTAATTGCTCCATAATATCTATAATAAATTTTGATGAAACTTGGATGCTTTAAAAGTCCAAACAGCTGATCGTAATACATACTTGCCATCATCAGTCAAGATCAATGATCGAGCAAAAAGAAGGATGACAGAAGAATGGTAGAAATAAAGTAAAGAAAGAAAAAATAACAAACAAAAAAGCAAGATAATGTTAATTTAAAAATTCAATATTCGAATATAAAATATGCAAATTTTACGCGTAATATACGTAGATATGAGAAGAAGAGAAATGTTAGACCCGGTTTTATTTTGGTCAGTGACTGCTTTTGCGTAACGGAAGACGCGATTGGTCCAGGCACGGCGTAGACGCATCGCGTCGCGACTCGTCGCGGCGCGCAGCGCCGAGCAAAGATAGTTGCGCCTAAAATGGCTCACGGTAACGTGATCCCTATCCAAATGCAAAAATACAATCCCCTGCTTGTAGCAGCACATTACGTCCTTCGTAGCTCGCAAATCGTAAAGCGAACGATGCTTAATCGCAATGTCACAATACAATGAGAAAAATGATTAATTTTATAATTAGATAATCAATCCACTGATTTAATAAATTGATTAAATAATATAAATTAATTAAATTCTGCCTATACATCCTACATTCCATATTTAAATATATGGAATGGATAAAAAACATGAATATAATATTTTACATCAGTTAATATGGCTAGCCTTTTTCTTACACGTATAAAGTAAATGTACCAATGCCTGGACACGTACCTATGTCTCGACATTTTAAGGACTATCATTTTAGTCCTTAAATAAGTTAAAACGCGAATTAAAATCAAAGAATCAAAGATAAAAATATTTGTCTTAATTGTATTATATTTTTATCTTTAACTTTAATTCGCGTTATTCTTAATTAAAAATTAAAATGATATAGGTGTCCAGACATAGGTCTTAAGTAAATAAAACATTTTTAAAAATTTCAATCAATATTCTTATCTTTTTGTGTTATAATATTTAATTTCGTTCTTTTACACTTTGCATTATCCGTGGCTGAGAAGATATCTTGTCTAGTTACTAATTATTTTCTGAAATTTGCTCGTTTATTGAGCAAAACGATGTATTTAAATCACTATGCGTGTACACCTTCCTTCTTCGTATAACTTCTGTCGTACTTTCCAATTAGAGTAGAACGAGCCAAGGAAACGAACCGTTCACGAGCTGTTTTTTTTCTTGTCGCCGTTACGCGCGATGACGATGCCGCATTTTTTCATTAAATTATGTCTACACCGGGACGCATCATAATTTCAACCAATTTACTTGTTAGTCTGAGAACGAACCATTGCGAAAATACGTACAAGTTTATGATTATGGACTTCCATTGGGAGGGAGAAATTGAATTTAATTCCGGATGAAATAGATTAATTAATTTGAACAGTGTTTAATATTATTTGCATTTTAATTGAAGTAAATTAACTCATTTTTTTATTTCTGCAGTTCAAGGGGAGATCGTTATGCAAACGACGCCAACGGTACCAGCGTAAGTATTGCGACATTTACTAATTGTAGTCTCTATGCGACTATAAGAGAAACGTAACTGTCAAAGACAATCTCTTAAATTATCGGCAGATTTACGGGTAAACCCGGGGATCCCTCACCACCGATTTTCGAGCGAATCTTCAAAAATGCGAGATTTGCGCAGGGCGGCAACGCGATTTTTGAAGGCTGTGTTCGTGGTAATCCGAGACCGTCAGTTTCTTGGACACATAAAGGAGTGCTGTTGCTAGAATCACGAAAGATCCGAATGTCTTATGATGAAAAGTCAGGAATTGTCACACTCCAAATTAATCAGATCGGTCCAGGGGACGAGGGCGAGTACACATGCAGTGCAAAAAACCAATATGGTAAAGATTTTTTTCTACAAGGGCAGTTTTCATCTAGAATAAATATTCTTTAAACATTAGAATCTAACTTTCGAATTGACGTTAGAATAAAATAAATGGAAAAAAAACTATGAGTCCTTCACTTTTCACAGGCGAAGCTATTTGCTCAGTTTACATACAGCCAGAGGGATTTGGTCCTCCAACGCAACAACTAACAGATAGTCACAAGAAAGAATTTACGCAAAGCTTTCAGACGAGTGAACAGAAAATGCAAACTGGAAGTCAAGTCTTCCAACAACGCAGTTATCAACAAACAACCGATAAACGAAGTTACGTTAATGGCACAACTACGAGCGTTGAAGATTTTAAGGTATTACAGCCAAACACTATACATATATTCGTTGCTTTAATAGAATACCGGATATAAGAATGCTTAAGAAGTAATATTCCTTCTTTCTCAAATGCACAGGTGGACACTTTTGAATATAGATTGTTGCGCGAATTGGAGTTTCGTGAATCAATTACTCGCCGTTTCGCGGGTGAATCTGACTTGCAAATATCTACGACAATTGATCGTACCTTAGGACCGGTTACACCTCCACAAATCACTCAGAAACCCAGAAACTCGAAGCTCGTTGAAGGATCGGACGCTGTCTTCACCGCAAAGATAACTGGCAATCCGAAACCAAGAGTGAGTTCAAATCGCATTGAAAGAACTAAAATATTAAAGATAACTTTACGACAACTTTTCTCCAATAGTATACATATAGTATATTAGTATATATGTATAATTACTTTTATCTCTATAAGTCGTATTTCTATATCATCTGTCAATAATGTTATAAGATATTCAATTGTTTTAATTGTAAAATATCTAATCTAATACATCCTTTATTAACTTAGCATCGCTAAATCGTATTCACGTTATTGTAGTTAACATGGTTCAAGAATGGACAGAGAATTCGAGATTCTCAACGTGTGGAGACGAGCTATTCAAATCAACAGGCTACTTTACGAATTCGAGTCGCTCTGCCGGAAGACAGCGGCCATTATACATTATTGTCTGAGAATCCTCAAGGTTGTACCGTTAGTTCCGCTTATCTCGCAATTGAGTCCAGCGATCAAGTAGATCAAGTTCCGTATCAAGCGCATCAAAGGGAATTTATTAAGACTCAACAAGTAGAGTCGACCATTGAATCTACTGACTCTAGCAAAGTTCTGCCACCGAATTTTGTTCGTACAATCACGGATAAGGAAGCTACCGAAGGCAAAATGACGCGGTATGCTTTGACTTTTTCCATTTTTAGTATCTCTCTAGCTTTTCTTTCACTCTTAAGCATCGTTTTCAATGAGTGGTGTTTGTGTTTGTGACACTAACAAATAATATAACTGACATATTTCAGATTCGATTGTCGCGTAACTGGACGTCCCTATCCCGAAGTTACCTGGTACATAAACGGCCAACAAGTCGCCAATGACATGACTCACAAAATCCTTGTGAATGAATCTGGTAACAATTCGTTGATGATCACAAACGTGAATCGCGCCGACGCTGGCGTAGTAACATGCGTTGCTCGGAATAAAGCTGGCGAGACTTCTTGTCAATGCAACTTAAATGTCATTGAAAAGGAACAAGTAGTTGCGCCGAAATTTGTCGAACGTTTTGTTACAACAGGCGTAAAAGAGGGAGAACCCGTGGTCTTTATGGCACGCGCAGTCGGCACGCCCATTCCACGTATCACGTGGCAAAAGGTATTGTAACTTCTTCAAATTTTATTTGCTGTATAATCACGATTTCTCTGACACCAAAAAAAACTTTTGCAGGATGGCGTACCAATAACGCCTGGCCCTGAAATACGTATATCGAGCGATGGTAACGGAGCTTCAACTTTGGATATCCCGTGCGCCAAATTTTCAGATGCAGCCTGGTACCAGTGTACAGCTCAAAATGTAGCCGGCTCCACCGCAACTCGAGCACGGCTTTTCGTTGAGACGCCAAAAGGAACGACCCCGGAACCAAGACGCCTGAATTTACCCCGACCAACGAAAATCATCGAACCAGAGTGAGAGACTGTTTAAGTATTCACCAAACTAGCAAATTAACATTCACACACCTTTCCACGTTTTATTTTATATCCTTATTGTGATGCACAGATGATGAATATATAGATTCATAAAATCAGGACTTTATGAAATTGACTTTTATTCTCACTAACAAAAGCCTTTCGTAAATTAAACTGAATAATAAACGTTTGTAGACCAGCGCCTGGCCCCGAAGTGATTTACTTGAGACATGTGGAACGCGCGAAACCCTATTTGCCGCCCGCCGAAGAGGACAAAGTTTATCCCCCGCCGTGTTTCATTATACCGCTAAAAGACGTTCATCAGATCGAAGGTGGACGAATTCACTTCGAGGCCAGAATCGAACCGGTGGGCGACCCCACTATGAGGGTGGAGTGGTATGTAAACGGCAGAGCACTCGATGCGAGTAAGTAAAAATTTTTATATCAATCTTGCATTTACATGACCAAACTCAATCGATTTACATTGACGCATATGTATCTTTCACAGGTTCCCGAGCAACTTCCGTCTTTCGCTTTGGTTTTATCTCACTCGATCTCATTAGCATCGTTCTTCAAGATAGCGGCGAGTACTTGTGTCGCGTTGTAAGCTCGACGGGAGTCGCTGAATCTCGAGCCACCCTCAGTGTAACACGTGAGTAATAGTTATCTATACGCCGTATTCTATATAACCATAAGCTTTTTTTTCTTTTTTTCAGCACGTGCCACTATTGAACAAGCAAGCCAATACCCCGATAGTCTCCAGTACATTCAACAACTTGAGGATTACAGCAAGTATCAAAGACAAGAGAGCGCGGAGGAGACCTCTTCACAGCGGCCGGTTTTCATCCGTCCGCTCCAGGATCTTGGTGAGCTACAGGAAGGTCGTAACGCCCATTTCGAGGCGCAATTGACACCTGTTAGCGACCCCACCATGAAAGTGGAGTGGTACAAGGATGGAAAACCAATCACAGCCAGTGAGTATTGATATTTGGAACGAGCGATTTTTATTGTTTGAAAAATTAATGTAAAAAACTATTAATTATTCACTAGGTTCAAGAATCACTAGCATCTTTAACTTCGGATACGTCTCACTCAATATAATGCACCTACGGGCTGAAGATGCAGGTTCTTACACTGTCAGAGCTGTGAACCGCTTGGGAGAGGCCATCAGCTCCACGACTCTTCGTGTCTTTGGTGAGTCTTATTTACAATTAGTGCCGTGACGGATAATTATTCTCAAACAATTTTAGCTTTTATCAATTCTCGAATACTGATCTCTTAATTATTGTGCAGCGCGAACAAGCGTTACAACAGACTTGGGTATTCCCGAACAACTGAGATACATAGAGGCTGCCGAGGAATTGGAAGCGTATCAACAGGCGATGCACCAAAAGTACGTGCAGGAACAGCCTGAACCGAGTAGCCCACCGGAATTTAAATCACCTATTAAGGATCAGAGCGGCATTAGAGAAGGCGGATTCGCTCATTTTGAGGCGCGTCTCGAACCAATCGGTGATGCCGATCTCCGTGTCGAGTGGCTGAAAGACGGACGACCCGTAGAAGCTAGTGAGTAATACATAATTCTATTCACATAAACGTATGCATGTTATACATTCACGGAACATTTTCGGGATTAGGTTCTCGGATTACAACCTTCTTCAATTTTGGTTACGTGGCGTTGACCATCAAATACGTAACGATACACGATGTTGGCGTGTACACTTGCCGAGCCTACAATAGAGCCGGTGAGGCTCACACTACCGCTCAATTGAGTGTGATCAGCAAGAATGATGTTATTTATGACAGCCAGCATCCTACTGGTCTCCAAAAAATTCAGTCTCTCGAAGATTCGAGTAGATACTCGCGACAGGTTCAGGAAGAAACGCAGATTACCCAGGCACCACGATTCCTGGGTAATCTTAAAGGTACTAATAAGATCGTAGAAGGTCAACGGGCGCACTTTGAAGCACGTGTCGAACCTCAAAGTGATCTGAGTATGAAGATCGAGTGGTACCACAATGGTAAACCCATTACTGCCGCTAATAGAATCCAGACGTATCACGACTTCGGATACGTTTCCATTGATATCCTTCAGGTTCGCTCTGAAGACACTGGCACATACACCGTTGTGGCAAGAAACGCCCGTGGAGAAGCTCGTTTATCCGCCACCATGACTGTAGAGAGTAAGATATACAATTTTATTTTTATGCCGTATTGAAGAAATTTGCAGAGAATAGACGATTATTAATTAGTGAGTTTCGTTGATTCTTCGTTTCAGCACGTTCGAGCGTAGATACCAGCAGCATGCATCGCGGCACTTATGAGAAGACTCAACGTTTAGAAGAATCCAAGTTTGTCGAGCCGCAATATCATATCGAAGAGATCTCCAAATCAAAACCAATTTTTATCCAGCCGTTGAGTGATCCTAAGCCAGTTAGCGAGGGGAAAAATATTCACTTAGAGTGTCGTCTGGAACCGATGGGCGATCCTACGATGAGAGTTGAATGGTTCCAAAACGGACGTCCGGTCACAGTCGGCTCCAGATTCAGAACTTACTATGATTTCGGATTCGTCGCACTCGATATAGTACACGCTACCGTTTACGATTCTGGTGAATATACAGTCAGAGCTACTAATCATCTGGGTACCGCGCATACTTCAGCTTGCGTCAGAGTTATCGGAAGATCTGACATCGTCACCGAAACGCAAAATGAACAATCGCTTGAGCAAATACAAATGTTGGAAGATTCATCAAGGTTTGCTTTTATTTATCGCCTCTTGTAACTCATATTTTCTTTATAATTATTATTTTTCTCATTTGTTATTTTATTCGTGTATAGGTATCGCAAAATTCAACAGGAGGAAGTCACTGTGATGCAAGCACCTCAGTTCACTCGACCTCTACACAATATTGAGACGGTAGAACTAACCAACGTTCATCTCGAATGTCGTCTTCAGCCAATTGGCGATGCGACCATGAAAGTCGATTGGTTCGTTAATGGTAGACCTGTCAAAACTGGTCATCGATTCAGACCATCTTATGAATTTGATTACGTGGCTCTAGACATTCTTGGCGTTTATCCTGAAGACTCTGGTGTATATACCTGTCAAGCTAGAAATCAGCTCGGCGAAGCGGTTACTTCGTGCTCTGTAAGAGTACACGCCAAGAAGGATTTACTTCTAGAGTCTCAACATCCCGAAGGATTGGAAAGAATACAATACTTGGAAGATGCTTCACGATACAAAAGGCATGAACTAGTGGATGAAGTCGTCAATGTAAAGCCGAAATTTATTACAAAACCGAAAAACCAAGAAAATCTTCGAGAAGGACAACATGCTCATTTCGAGTGCAAACTGGAGCCGGTAACGGATCCGAATTTGAAAGTCGAGTGGTTTAAGAATGGTCGTCCAGTAACGATAGGTAATTTGTCCAACTTTTATATTGCTATCTCTTCTACAATGACAACACAAATACGTACACACATATCATTATCTAACACACGTTCTTTTCTTTTCTCAAAATTTATCAAAACAGTTGTGTTTAGTATGTATATGTTCAAATTATGTTCATTCTTGGGAAAATCACACACACATACACAATTTGCAGGACACCGCTTCCGTCCAATTCATGATTTTGGTTACGTTGCATTGGATGTAATTGATTTGATTGCTGAGGATTCTGGGACATATACTTGTCGTGCTGTTAATCTGGTAGGAAGTGACGAAGTACTCTGTACTTTAACGTGTCGCTCAAGCGCACAAATATTAACGGACACGCAAAATGAGCTTGGACTTGAGCAAATTCACTATCTTGAGGATAAATCCAAATATCATAGACAAGAAGTTATTGAAGAAACTACCACTCAGGCGCCTATTTTCACAACTTCATTGAATAATGTCGAGATAAAAGAGGGCCAGCGAGCACATTTTGAATGTAGACTAATTCCGGTATCCGACGCAACAATGAAAATCGAATGGTTCCATAATAATAAACCAGTAAAAGCGGGCTCGAGATTCGTCGAGACAAACAGCTTTGGTTTCGTCGCTCTCGATATTATGTACGCGTACCCCGAAGATTCTGGGACATATACGTGCAGAGCTAAAAATATTATTGGCGAAGCTATCACTTCTGCAACCGCCATCGTTCACTGTAAGCTTTTTTTCACTATAAGATTTGTTCGATAATTTATTCCAATATCGATAACGTTAATTCACTATTTTTTTTTACCAACAGCTAAAAAATCAATCTACACAGAGACTCAGAGTGAAGAAACTCTTCAACGTCTTCGCTCGTTGGAGGACACCTCTCGTTATCAACGTAAAACTGCAACCGAGGAAATTATTACGCAAGCTCCGGTCTTTACGATGCCAATAAAAGATCTCCGTGTTGCTGAGAATCAGGCAGCACATTTCGAGGCACGTGTTATCCCAGTTGGAGATCCTAAACTCAAGGTGGAATGGCTACGTAACGGAGTTCCTATTTCAGCCTGTAAGCTTAGCATCTAACAAATTTATGTACCAACATATGTCGTCTCATATCAAGATTCTTTCAAAAATATTCTTTATCGTTAAAAAATTTTTTAAAGCAAATCGTGTAACGACCATGCACGATTTTGGATACGTCGCCTTGAATATGAAGTACGTCAATCCCGAAGATTCAGGCACTTATACATGTCGTGCTATAAACGAACTTGGAGAAGCAGTTACTTCAGCAACATTGTTCGTTCAATGTGAGTACGTCGTTAATTTAACGCATAACTCAGGTACATATTTACGAAACGTTTACACAATACATTTTACACAATTCGCAAACTAATTTTAAAAATATAATCAATAATAATTATTTTTTGTAAATTAGGTAAACTGTCCCGATATTAATTAACATTATTAACTTTCGCTATAGTTACATCATTAAACAGAAATGATGTTTAAAATCCTATACCGATTTACTACGTAATACGTTGTCGGTATTACATTCTTGTATTTTATTTTTACTTCATTGCAATTGGTTTGATATAATATTGTTAAACTTATTTGCTACTATCTACAAATAAGTATTACATATTTGCCTGAGATATTGAAAATCTGCCGAGTCTACCCTAAAAAACTTTCCTTGTTTTACGGAATTAATTGACGTGCATGATTCCCTTTGACGATTCGTACCACTGCGCTATGTCAAAAATTCTTCTAAAATACAGCCAAGGCAGCCTTGCAGTTCGAATCGCAACATGAGAGCGCTTTGTCGAAACTTCAAGCCCTGGAGGATACCACAAAATATCAACGTCGTGAGGAGGAGGAGATCCTGATAAAAGACAAGCCATCCTTTACGGTTCAACTGAACGGACCTACCAGTCTAGCCGAAGGACAAAGCGCACATTATGAGTGCCGCATAGAACCTTATCCCGATCCCAACATGAAGGTGGAATGGTTTCACAATGGCAAACCACTATCCACCGGTCACAGATACAGAACTACCTGTGACTTTGGATTCGCATCGTTGGATGTATTGACCGTATATGCCGAGGATTCGGGCACGTATACTTGTCAAGCCACCAATAAATTGGGATCGGCGAGGAGCTCGATTAATCTTAATGTGAAGTGTGAGTAATATAAGAGCGCATTTGCGCGACAACGTAGCTTGGATTAACTTCGATTTTGTTGCGTGTGTGTACGTGTGCATCATTTATTTCTTACAACTTATAACTTTAATTTACACATTATATTTCATTTCTTCTCTTCTTCGGTTTAAGTTTTCTCTTCTTTATATCGCTTTGCATTAATTTAAACTTAAAAAAAATTTCTCTTTAGCTCGAGCATCAATTATTCACGATACCCAACATGAGAGCGCATTGAAAAAGATACAATACCTCGAAGATGATTCAAGATATAAACGAGTGATCGAAGAAGATACGATCATCGTCGGATCATTCACAGGAGTCAATGTAGCTTCGAGATGGGCACTTTTGCCTTCTGGAAGGTGTTCAATATTCTTCAATGGTCGTCCGAAAGTTGGCTTCTCCGCGATGATCGTTGAATGGTTTAGAGATGGACGTCCTATTCCTCAAGGACATAAATTTAAGACAACCTACGATTTCGGATATGTCGCTCTCGATATTCTTTATGCTTATCCTGAAGATTCGGGTACTTATATGTGCAAAGCAAGAAACGCTGCTGGCGAAGCAGTCACTACTTGCGTGATCAGCGTAGATTGTAAGTAATATTTTACACTATGAAAACAACAAAGGGCTAATAATTTGCTTTATTTTTACACTATGTTTATTCATAAACTAGATTTAGCATGATCAATGAGTACCCGTTAAATAATGTTTCTTTTCGCGGACTTTCGAAACAAATGAGAGAAACAAATGAGATAAAGCGAGATAAATTTTTCATATGTTTACTTTGCAAAATTTACAAGTGTGGACGAAATGTTACATAACTTGTTATTTTATAATGGCTTTTAATTAATAAAAGTGTAGATACATAACTGTCACCAATTATTTTGATTTTGCACAGCAAAACAAGGCTTATATCTCGATACATTGGATGCACAACGTTTGCAAAAGATTCGAGAATTGGAAACTGTCGAAGTCAAAGAAGAGATCGAAAAAGAGGTTATTCATCAAAAACCTGTGTTCTTAACACCATTGAACAATCTGGATCATCTCAAGGAAGGCGAGCATGCTCATCTGGAATGCCGTGTAGAGCCGATTAACGACCCGAATTTAAAAATTGAATGGTAATTCAATATACTCAATACACATGGATAATACATTATAGTAGCTGCATCGTCTATAAGATGAAGAAATATTTATCTAGAATTTAAATGTGTTTAAGAATAAAAACGACACAACGATATAACGGTAGCTTTAATACAATGCCAAATAATTCTATCGATTGAATTCTCTTTAATTTAATAGGTTTGTCAATGGCGTTGCGATTAAAACTGGTCATCGCTTCCGTACAACGCATGATTTTGGCTATGTGGCTCTTGATATTCTTTATACCTATCCTGAAGATTCCGGTACTTACATGTGTAAAGCAACCAATCTGGCTGGCGAAGCAGTTAACACTTGTACTATCAAAGTCAGCTGTAAGTATCTGTGATATCAAATTGTGCGTTAATTCGGGATATTCGTACATGTCAGTCCTGTGCTAACTGTCCTGTGTAATTGTCAGCGAAAGATGCGCAATATCCGAAGTCTAATTTCCCACCCGTAAAGAACTTATTGAAAACATTCATCAGCAACAATAAAATTTATCGACAAGAAAAAGGCCATCTATCGAACGGATAGCGGAGATACTTTTATAAAGAAGTCTTATTAAGAAAAAAAGAATTTTTTTCGTTAAAATGTATAAACTCGTAAATCTTGTAAACTCAAACAAGTTCTGGTCTTACAGACGATATAAAAATATCATGCTTCAAAAAAAAAAAAACAGAATTATTAACCATATCACGTGAGATATTGCAAGGTATATCGAGTTAAGCGATTCTAATTCTTCAGATAATAATAATTGATCGTAAAATCGGATTTATATATTTTTTATATTAAAAAGCAAGCATGAAGTTGATAATAAAGAATACTTGTTTTATCATAGCGCGACGGAGTATTCTTTTGGATACCCAACATCCGGATGGTCTGGAAAAGATTCGAGAATTAGAGGCCCAGGGTCATCCTGCACGATTGGAAATCGAGGAACCGCCAGTAACACCACCGAGATTTGTCACTGAGCTTAGGGTAAATAATAATAACGATGACGAGACACATGAATGATTATTATATAAATTAATAAAGCAAATATAAAAAGTTTAGCAAAGCAAATAAAGCAAATAAAATGAAACACGAGAAATTTTTTTTAGGGCACAACCGAAGTATACGAGGGGCAAACAGCTCACTTCGAGTGCCAAGTAGAGCCTTTGCATGACGCAAATCTAAGAATCGAATTCTTCCACAATGGTAAACCATTACCATCGGCAGCGCGTTTCCACGTGACTTTCGATTTCGGCTATGTGGCTCTGGACATTGGTCATGCCGTACCCGAAGATGCAGGACAATATTCAGTGCGGGCGATTAACGCGTTGGGACAATGCGTATCATCTATCGAGCTTAAAGTAATTCCACGAGATAGCATTATTATGGATTCTCAACGGCCCGAAGGAATGGACAAAATCCGAGAGCTCGAGGCCCAACAGCCATGGAAAAGACCGGATATTCCAGAGCCTCAAACACGACAGCGGCCAGTCTTCACTCAACCATTGCAAAATATTGATAGCATTGCCGAGGGTCACACCGCACATTTCGAATGTAGACTCATACCCGTGGGTGATCCTATGCTTAAAGTGGAATGGTTCAGAAACGAAGTGCCCCTTGAGACAAGTGAGAATCGTTAGATATGAAGTTCAATATTTAATGTTAATACAACAATACATATAATTCTTACGCAAAATTAATTTTTACCGCAATTTTCTCAGGTTCGCGGATAACAAAGGTGCACGACTTTGGCTATGTATCTCTGGATATCGCTCACGTGCGTGACGAAGATGAAGGTGTTTACATGTGCCGGGCGTCTAATCCATTGGGTGAAGCGGTTACCACAGCTTCAATGAAGATTAAAAGTAAATAATTTCACCTATTTAATCAAGCTGTCAAGATTGAAATTTAGTACGATATATAATCTGTTTAATAAATTATTATTCACATTAATACGTACAGCTAAGGCGAGCATACAGTTAGATACTCAGCATCCGGAGGCGCAACGTAGAATCGCTCAGCTGGAAGCCAAGGAAGCTGGACGACCCGAGGAGCCGGAAAAGATTTTTGATAAACCAATTTTCACGCAGTTGCTAACTGGGCCAACTGAACTTTGGGAAGGACAAATGGCTAGATACGAATGCAGAGTCGTTCCTGTCGGCGACGCGAGTTTAAGATTCGAATGGTATATGAACGGAGTCGAATTAAAAATGGGTAAGATAGCTTTTTTTCCAATAAATAACTATTAGTATCGCAGTAGGTATTTGACATTAACAAAGTCATTGTGTATCGATATTTAGGTTCACGCTTCCATGTAAGTCACGATTTCGGATACGTAACGTTAGATATTCTAAAAGTTATTCCCGAAGACTCTGGAGTATATACTTGCAAAGCGATTAACAATGCGGGAGAGGCGATATCGTCAATTTCCCTGAAAGTAAAAGCACGTTCAGCTATCAGTTCCGACAGCATACAAACGGACGCGTGGCAGAAAATTCAATTGAAGGAAGCCGAAATGAATAAAGTGCCGGAAATGTTTGTCGACACAACGCCGCAGCAAGCACCAGTTTTCACCAAGCATCTCGAAAGCTTCGACAAGCTGATAGAGGGTCAACGTGTCTATTTGGAAGCTCAAGTGGAGCCGCGGGCGGATCCGAATTTAAGAGTGGAATGGTTCAAGAATGGTGTATCACTCCAGACTGGGACGAGGCTTCGTAGTACGTTTGATTTCGGTCTGGTAACGTTGTCGATCAACGGGCTAAGACCCGACGATTCGGCAATTTACACATGCAAAGCAACTAATCTTTTGGGAGAAGCCGTGTCAACTTGTAGCTTGAAAATTGCCGATCGTCACTGGTTATTGGGAGATACCTTGCATCCTGACGCTCTGCCGAAAATCGATGCTTTGGAGCAGCCTCAGATAATCTCTACCGAGCAACCGGAACCTACTTATGAAGAACCGGTTTTCATTACTCATTTAAATAACGTAGAATGCATCGAAGGTGATAACGCTCACTTTGAATGCAATGTAGAACCGTCGAAAGATCCAACTATGAAGATTGAATGGTTCTTGAACAATAAACCCTTGCCGACCGGTGCGAGATTTAAGAGCACCTATGATTTTGGCTACGTGGCTCTGGACTTGACTCACGCTTATGAAGAAGATTCTGGCGTGATTACCGTTAAAGCCACAAATTCAAAAGGAAGTGCACAGACATCTGGTACCTTGAAATGCACCAGCAAGCAAAATATTTATCTTCAAACGCAACATCCACAAGGAGAAATCGGACTTGAGAAAGTAAAAGAAGCCGAAGATGCTTACCTATCGAAATACAAAAAACCGGAAGAAGCTCCTGAGCATGAATATCCTAAACCGATCTGGACGGTGCCTCTTGGGCCTGAGTTTAAACTAGGAGAGTCCGAACCGTTACATCTAGAGGGACAAGTCGAGCCAAAGGATGATCCGAATTTAAGGATCGATTGGTATTTCAATGGGAAACCTTTAGAACATGGTTCACGTTTCAAAATGACTAGCGATTTTGGATTTGTCACTTTGGACTTGACGGACGTTTACGAGCGTGACTCTGGTATTTACACTTGCAAGGCCTATAACAAAGCGGGCGAAGCTTTTACTTCGACGACAATTTATTGTTCCACAAAAGAAAATATCATTGAAAAGTCGCAGCATCCCAAAGGCAAGGAAGGTCTCGAAGCGATCCAAGATCTGGAGGAATCTTTGAAACGGCAAGAAGGAGTTCCCCTAGGAGACGAAGAAGGTCAACCACCGATGTTTACATCACAATTTGAGAATTTGACCAATCTGTCGGAAGGAGAGATCGCTCACTTCGAAGCATCTCTCATCCCTACTGGTGATCAAACTATGGTGGTTGAATGGTTCTATAATGGCAAATCTTTAGAAGCTAGTCACCGCACGAGAACCGTTTACGCTTTCGGCATGGTTGTCCTCGAAGTTCTCGGCACTAAAATAGAAGATTCGGGTACTTATACTTGTAGAGCCACCAACAAATGGGGTAAAGCAGAAATTAGCGTGCAACTAGAATGCATCGACAAGTCCAAGGGACAGAAACCTAAATTCACGACGCAGATTCAATCCTTGGAGGGTTTAAAGGATGGTCAATCGGCTCACTTTGAGTGTACTCTGATCCCAGTGGGTGATCCTCATATGAAAGTCGAGTGGTTCCACAATGGAAAGCCTCTACGGCACTCGTCACGTTTCAAGATGGTCTCTGATTTTGGCTTCGTAGTTATGGATATTGCCGGCGTGATGTCTCACGACAGCGGAGAATACGTTTGCAAAGCTAGCAATAAATATGGCGAAGATTATACAAAAGCCACGATCAAGTGCTTCGGCAAAAGCGGAGTTTACTTAGATTCTCTGCAGCCGGACTCGCTCGCTAGAATTCGAGAGCTCGAAAGTTATACCGGAGAGCAAGTAACTACACCTACGGCTCCCGTCGCTGAACCACCGAAATTCATTACGCAGATCGCTGACATTACGAAGCTGGTAGAAGGGCAGTCCGCACATTTCGAGGCCAGACTGACCCCGGTGACTGATCCTGACTTGAAAGTCGAGTGGTATTACAATGGCAAGAAACTTCCTCACGGCCATCGATACCGCACCTTCCATGACTTTGGTATTGTTATCTTGGACATCCTCTATTGTTACGAAGAGAATTCCGGAATTTACGAATGTAAGGCCGTTAACAAGTATGGCGAAGATTCTACAAGAGCAACGCTCAAATGTTTCTCCAAAGCTAATCTCGTTTTGGAATCGCAACTTCCTAAGGGCATGGAAGGCGGCCTAGAGAAAATCCAAAATCTCGAAGACTCGATGATACG